CAATTTCCCCTACAACCCTACCCAGTGGTTGCTTTCAGGAGGAAATATTGCTGCTATGAAAGATATCCACATGGGATACACTATCACTCCCACCTCACACTCTTCCTTGTGATGTATGTATGTTTGAGTGGAAGCTCGTTGTTTGAGGCTAAGCTTTAAATTTGAGAAAAGTGGGTTTTCTGGTGGCTCAGTGTACATAAATCAAAAATATGACATTTCAGATGGTTTCTTACAACTGTTGCTGTGATCATCCACCAGTATAATCTCTTTGAGCAGGTGGGATGGAGTCCTCTGAATGGCTGTGTGTACAGAGCGCAGCAACACTGACAAGGCCTCGTTGACAAAGATAAAGATGACACTGAGCTGAGGAAGGTCTGATGAATACGACATGTTTCTGCACCTGTGGAAAAGATAAACAGTGAAGCTTTCTTTGCTATTTTCTTATAAGAAAAAATTACCACAATTTACTGGGGGAAGGTCAAGACTTAAAAACATCATTGCATCAGTGGTTGGATCTACACAGACAAATACCACCACCACAAATCTTGATGAATTAATCAATTAACAGTGCAGATCAACTGACTGACCCATCTGGTCGTAAATCTGGGATCGGCCGGGTAAGGGAGATGCGGTCACTGAGGTAGCTGTTGTAGCCATAGTAACGAAACTTCCTAAGGGCGACCCGTCGACTCTCAGGGCCCAGGTCGTGGCCCCAGTGGTTGAACAGCGAAGAGGCAGCGAATGCAGCTGAGCCGGATGAAGACAAAGTGTCTTCACTGTCCTTCTGAGGGGTCTCTGTAAAAAAAAAGAGAGGAAGACAGCTTGGTGCATTTTAAACAAACTGTATTTTTCAAGAAACTTTTAAAAATATTTTTAAGTTTTCTCCAACGGTTTTATGCTGTGGCAGGCACTTGGCTGATGTTACAGTGTGGTGAAATTTAATGACAAATGAACTCTATTCAGGGCATTTTGAAGGAAAAATGAATGTGACAGAGAGCTAAGTGTGCTGTGTGGTTATCAAACAAAACCTGTTTGCTGAGGGCTCAAAGAATAATTTCAGCAGCACAGGGGAACAGGACAGAACACAAATGTGATACAAAATAACAGGGATTTTCATTGTCATTACATATAACTCATTCTGGCAGCCCCGCTGATCTGTTCCTGTGGAGGTAGACACAAATCTGCTAACATGCTAAGGTAACATTTCTTTTTTTTAATCAGTGTTGTAGCTTACAAGTCAGTGCTACATGTACAGCACCCAGCTGCTTTCTATGCATGGTGGAAGGCAATGATGAATAAAAAACATGAAAGCACAAAAAAGTACACTTGTAGTGATTTGAAATATTTATAACTCGTGTGAGTTACAGCATGAGCCCAGCTGAGAACTTTGCATTCATTCTGACTCGTCATTATTGGAAACATGGGTGTTAAATGATGCTGTGCTTTCCTGTCACTTCTTCTTTTTGTATGGCAGATTTGGGGCAAAGTAGCAGCAGAATTTGAATGTAGTGGTACTCAGCATTTTTGGGGCTCTGGATAATGAGGATCATCTGTGAGAATAAACTACTCAGGAGGTGCTAAAATTCTAAAGTCAGGTCTTTAACCAAAGCCGACACTTACTCCAACCTTACACCCCATCAGTTTTGTAAAATTCAGTGAATTAGTGGTGGGTCCCAGCCTCCAGCCCCTGCAAAGCAGTGTGCTCCCAGTTTTCCAACCCCACAAGTATATGTAAACAAGGCCGCACACACACAGATTCCCCACAACATGGTGGATTGGGAAAGGGCCACTCTGCTGTGTGACAAACTGTCTCACCTTGTCTTCCAGTCACTTTATATAGAATTGGCATGCTGTTAGCACAGCGAGCTGAGTGTGTGTGCTGTGGATCAGCTCTCAGCATCCACTGTGACAGGGCTGCTGTCAAAACCAATGCGATCAGAGCTGAGCTCCGGTTCAACGTGCATCAAATGCTAGCTAGGTAACAATTCGATCTGTAATCACTTGACAGTGCAGCAACTAAGCTGTCCATTGAGTTTTGATTGATGGCTGATTGGTCGACAAGGAGTTTACAGCAGAAAGTAAGATGCAGCTGGAGGGGAAAAGAGCAGCCTACAACCCCAAATCAGAAAAAGTTAGAATGGTATGTCAAATACAAATTAAAACTGAAAGTGATGAATTGTAAATTATCTGTGTCCTGTATTACACTGAAAACCATACAGCAGCACATTATTTGATCTGCTACTTCACAAATTTTATTCTTGTTCAAAGTAAACACTCACTTCCATTCTGACTGCAATCAACAGGTGATTGCAAACTGAATTTGGTATAAAAGTGGCATCCAGGAAAGGCCGAGCCCTTTAGGAGCAAAGATGGTTCGAGGACCACCAGCTTGTCAACATATGCCTGAGAAAATGTGTAGAAACAATGTTCCTCAAGGAAAGATAAGAAGTGTTAGGTATTTTTAGTCAGACAGACATTGGTTAGACACTTCATGTATTAAAAATGTTTAGTGTAGACAGGATGTCTAGCTCAGGCTGTTAAATGCTTAGTCATTCCCATGGCGTACTCCAGGTTGTTTATGTTCAAGGATAACTAGATAGAAAGTTGATTACTGTTAAGAGACAAAATGTTTATTATTATTATTATGACATTTAATCATAATCGTAATCATAATATTTTCTTATGCTTAGTGTCATGACATGTCACTAGATGTCATGTCAGAATGTCTTAGATACACACCACACAATCAACAGACAATCACACATTGATTTTCTTCATGCTTTGACTACTGCTATGGTCAGCTGCAAAGCTGGCATAGTATGGGGCTAGCCCAAAGTAATATAATGTATAGGCCTGTTATGGTTCGGGGCTTTTCATCTTTCGGCTGCCTGCGTGCATGTTGGAGGTGCAAAGACTCCTGAGCGTGTAATGTTAATTTTACCTGTGTTCATTGAATAAATCAGCACTGTTTTGAAGTTACTCGGACTGCTTCGTCTCTCAGAGTTAACGTGGTGAAAAGAACGGGGGTCCAACAGAAGGGATTTGGATACATCACCCTCTACAGTGCACAACATAACTTAAAGATTAAAGGAATCTGGAGGGATTTCAGTGTGCAAAGGACAAGAGCACAAGCCTAAGATGGATGACTGTGCTCTCCGATCCCTCAGATGCCACTGCATCAATAATTGTCACTCTTCTTTAAGTGATAAAACCACATGGGCTCAGGATTACTTTGGCACACCTGTGTCAGGCACTACAATACCAAGTTACATCCATAAATGCTGCCTAAAACTGTACTGTGCCAAAAGGAAACTCTAAGTCAACCGTGTCCAGAAGCACAGTCGACTCCTCTGGGCTCGGAGGCTTCTGGGATGGACCATCACACATTGGAAATGTGCACTGTGTCAGGCAAATTAGTATTTCAGGTCTTTTTGGAAGGAATGGACGCCGTGTGCTCTGGACCAAAGACAAAAAGGACCATCCAGACTGTTACCAGCAACAAGTCCAAAAGCCAGGGTCTGTCATGGTCTGGGGTTGTCAGTGCCTTTGGCAAAGGTCACTTACATTTCTGTGATGGCTCCATTAATGCTGAAAAATACATAGAGATGTTGGAGAAACATATGCTACCATCAATACAATGTCTTTTCCAGGGACACCCATGCATACTTCAACAAGACAATGCAAAATCTCATACTGCACATTACTAAGACCTGGCTGTGGAGGACAAGGGTGTGGAGTGCTGGACTGGCCTGCTTGCAGTACCGACCTGTCCCCAGTAGAGAGTGCATGGAGCATTTTGAAACAAAAATGTATATATTTCATAAAATTTATCGTAGACCCTGGACTGTTGTGCAACTTAAGACTTGTTTGCAGGAAGAATGGGACAAAATGGCACCTGACACATTTAATCACTTGGTGTCCTCAGTCCCTAAATGTCTTTTATGTGCTGTGAAAAGGAATGGCAAAACATAACAAAACCCTGACATCTTCATAATTGTAACATCATATTTTTGACAGTTTTGAAGACGACAGAGTTCCAGTAGCTTGCTGCTAGTTGGCCTGCTAGCTAGGCATCATGCTTATGGCTGTTCCTATGATGACAAAGATCCATAAGGATTGGTAGTGAGATGTACATTGTTGGTAATGTTGGCAGAATTGCAATACATCCCACAACTGTAGGAGCATTATTTATTGAGACGTTGGGTTTTCCTCTATAATAATAATAATAAGGTCTAGACCTTATTATTATTATTATTATTATTATTATAAATATATAACTATTTATATAAATATATAAAGTGTACTAAGATGACTTTTGTCATCAGTTTTGCACTATAGGAATAAAACTGAATTGAACCGAATTGAATTGAACGCATTTTAAAAGGGGCCTTTCACTGTCAGTCTTCCAAACAAATGCTTTAGTGGTGAGTATTTTCTGACATTCTTCACTGAATAGTTTCAAATTATTCACACTAAAAACATAAAAAAAATGCAGATGTCTTTTTAGGATAGTGTCACCAAGTACAGGCCTGTTGGCACTGAAGGGAAATGCTAAAGGGTTGTGACAGTGCTTCAGTGATGGACCTTGTTTAGAGAGTGAGAACTCCTGTTCTGTCTGTAAATCAGCATAACACACAGTCTCCGCACCCAATTAGTCTTTGGAGAAACAGTTTCACCTTTTTCATAATGACACTGGCCTCAATTCCATAGTTTCCAAAGACTCACCCCACAATATTCTACATTCAATATGCCCATGTTCAAGCACATCAATTTAGAGAAATTGAATGTTGTCGCCCAGAGAGGAGTATTCTAGATGTGTACTTCATATCCTATTTGCAATCAGCGCTTACTCTTTGACATAGTAAACAGATGGAACCCAGCATTTACAGAAATCAGCCATCTATTTTTGTTTTTATTCTCTGCAAATCACATGGTAAAATCAGAAATCTTCTATTTATTCAGCCCCATTGATTTATGTGTGGGATATAAATATTCACATAAACAGCTTAAACAGATCAAGATCTTAAATGGGACGTGCCCAATGTGCAAAGCATAGTGCGTGGATGTAAAAACACTCAATTTAACCTGCATTCCTCCTCTATGATTTTTCACATTTTTTATCAGCCCCTCACTGAAACGCTTGCTGTGGCTGTTGCTTCGCAAAAACCTATCCTAGCAGGCTTTGCACTTGTAACACAAACACCCACCCACTTGCACCCGAGGATATGAAAGATTTTGTTTTCATAGAGAGAATCTTATTTGCTCTGCAAACCCTGCAACATTATCTCCCTCTGAAAGATTTTTGTGTCCCAGTATCTAAAGAAGCATAAGGGAAAACACATGCAATTCATTTGCTTTTTGTACTGACTCTGAGCCCCTTGAAATCACACGGCAGCTTCTTTTCATATCACAGTGAGTGATGACTCACACAAAGTGCTTTTTCAGCTGTTTGCTATGTATTTTATTGTATTGCCACAAACATGCAGAAGAGTCATTTACAGAATGTTGTGCTGCTACCAGCTGGGGAAAAAGTGAGCCCATCTGTACATCTCAGAGGTAAACAAACTTTGCAAGTTTTTTGCTGCTGCTGTACAATGACACACACATACCAACAGAAAGTGAGAGAGAGAGTGTGTGTGTGACAGAGTGAGAGTGGGATGGGGGCCTGCAGCCTTGTACAAAAGTTCACACATGATTAATTTAATCAAGCAGTGAGCAGATGGTGATGCTGTCTCGCTTGTCTCCCCTCAGGTTTGAAGAAAGTGCTTGGATCACACCTGAACAATGGAACAGTAGTTAGCACTGTCACCTCACATCAAGAAGGTTCCGGGTTTAAGCCCCAGCTGACCCAGGGCCTTTCTGTGCGGAGTTCTTCCTGTGCCTGCGTGGGTTCTCTCCGGGTACTCGGCTTCCTCTCACAGTCCAAAGACATGCAGGTTAGATTGACTGGTGACTCTAAATTGCATGACATCAATGTGAATGTGAGTAGATGTTTGTCTCTAAGTGTCAGCCCTGTGATCAAAACAATCACTGTGAAAATACAATTCAACAACTGTGGGCATGACACCTATAGTTGTATTTACATTTCATGGGCCCCTGTTAGTCCTGGGCCCTTGTAATTGTACTAATTTTTCCCCCCTTTACAGTCCCTATGGATAGTACTGAAATGCTATATGAAGATAATGTAATTATTTGAAGCTCAGGAGTGGGATCTGACGCCCCTTCCATTTTCACACTACTTAACCCTACTAAAATCATCATACTCCCACTTATGCTTTTCATTATCCACCCATCCTACAAAGAAAGATGGGCCATTCTGTTCTCTCACAGCCTGTGTCTCTGATTGATTCCAGTAGTTGTGCATTTTGGGAAATACACCTATTTGCTCTTTCTTTGAGTGAGGTGAGATC